TAATGAATATTAAAACTCTGCCTTGCAGGCGTGAGGAGTTTGTCCAGTGGGTTGAGATGCTCCCAGATACACAAACACCATCGTGGCTGGGACTGCCAAATAATGCAGAGAAAGTTCTTCTCACCACACAAGGTAAATACAGAACTTTAGCAAGATCTTCCATAGACTATCAGGCCACCATTTAACTAAAAAGCAGAAGGGAAATACAAATTTCGCTGAAGAGTTGAGAGCTTTCTCCTTCTCCCTCAACATAATTGGTTTTTGAGTAATGCAAAAACTGACCAGGAGCTTGTGAATCAAAAAAGCCAGTTACATTTAGTCTTCCAGATGGCAAGCTCCTATCTTGGTTCTGGAAAGCCTTATTGTAAGCTTCTGGAGCCACCTACAACTGGGCAGTTCTGAATCTTAAGTCTAGATTAAATAATGGAATAATGGAAAGTCCTGATTCTTGCATGTAGTGGGATGTTTTAATCTTGATGCCGCTGCTTCTCTAACAGCAAATCTTCTGTTTTAGGCATAGATATGATCAGTAAAATGCTGAAAATGCAGATGCTGGAAGATGAAGATGATCTGGCTTATGCAGAAACTGAGAAGAAGACAAGAACTGATTCTACATCAGATGGACGTCCAGCCTGGATGAGAACACTGCATACCACAGCCTCAAACTGGCTTCACCTTATCCCACAAACTCTAAACCATCTGAAGCGGACTGTGGAAAACATTAAAGTAAGAACTATGTTTTATTTAACATGGGCATAGGAAAAGCAGAAGTTCAGGTGCATTGTGTTTTGCAAGCACCAATTACACTGCTGAGGGGTCAATGAAACCTGTATTGATGCTGGTTTTGAGTGCCACAGCCACGTAATGACCTGCTGGGTTTCTTGAAATGCTCCTAAAACCTGGTTTATGATTTTTTGGGTAGTATTCGAAGAAATGCAATACCAAACAATCTAGCCAGGCAGTCTGCATTAATTGTTCAACTGTGACTTATACTTTCTTGCTTCTCTCAGGGGGAGGAGATTGTTGGTTGTAAAACAATTTCTGCAGTCACTTTCTGCACCACAGGCTGCATCCTGGTTTTTAGTGCTCGTAGCCATAGTGTCACTGCTCCATCCCCAGAATTTGGGGGTTATCATAGCAGTTTTCCAGCAAGAACTTTGATATGCAGCTTACTTTGAATTTTTTTACCATCAGGATCCTTTGTTCCGGTTCTTTGAGAGAGAGGTGAAAATGGGAGCTAAGCTGCTCCAGGATGTTCGTCAGGACCTGGCAGACGTGGTTCAAGTGTGTGAAGGGAAAAAGAAACAAACCAACTATTTGCGTACACTGATAAATGAGCTGGTGAAAGGTATGGGAATTCAAATTAGCGTCTCCCAGGGCTCTCTTTGCTTCTTTCACTCTGTAAGAGGCTGCTGTGGTAAGCAGCTTAGGAAAAAAACCAAAAATGGTAGAAAAATGTGGATAGACTTTGCCATTTGACACAAGTAATACTTAAAGACGAGCATAAAATTCCCATTGACTTGGTATGAGATAACAAGTTGAGGTTGATAATAGCCTAACAATTAGGGTATAATAATAATAATATAATAGTTAGGTTTTGATAGTAATATTATGAGGCTTTTTTGTACAATTTATGTTAGCAGCTTAATTTCTAGGCTGAAATCTTACTCAGATTGAGAGAGAAATTCTCACAATTTCTCACTTATGACAGAACAAAGTTAATTATTCCACCAAATGAGTAACATTGGTCCTGTAAAAT